CTGTTCTTGTGATTGCTCTTGTGACTGGCCTTGTGACTGATCTTGTGACTGTTCTTGTGATTGATCTTGTGACTGGTCTTGTGACTGGTCTTGTGACTGATCTTGTGGCTGTTCTTGTGATTGATCTTGTGACTGGCCTTGTGTCTTGTCTGGTGACGGTCTCGACTACAACACTGATCATGGGATCTTGGGTGTATTCTTGATGTCAAATTTCTGTATCTACATCTCTATCTTTATACTGCATGTATAATGTCTGCATGCAATTAACGGAAGTTTGGGTATATTGTTATTAAATGCTGATCAGTTATCCACCCTGATGTGAAACATCCCCTTCACTGTCAAAGAAGAGACCAGTTGGTGGGAATCATTTCATCTAGGTGCCCAACACATAAATGCAGACTGTACATTCCAATATAAACTAGTTAAGCATGCCGACCGTCTTCCACACCATGCCCCCAAAGTAAACCTATGCATGTGCTGGGTGAGTTCCACCCATAAGACCATCGCTGCTATTTGTCCAATAGCATGCAATCTCTTACTTCCGCATGGAGTGGATACAGAAGTGAGCTGTTCCATCCACAGTGTGTCTCCAAAAAACCAAGTCAAAGCAAAAGCTGTCCATTTCAGACATACAATATCAACTGACGGTATTTCAAACGTGCATGAGTTTACCTCTCAGCATTTTTGCTGTCAACAGCTTCTTTAATCAACACCGTCCAGGTCAAACGCGTATTGTATTTTATTCTTTCAATTAGCTCTAGTGATCAGACAAGAAAATGAAATGAGCATACTGTTGACTGCTTGTGTTCACAGGGGCATTTCGCTGGAATGCGCAAAATTAAATAAGATGAAATTAAACACATCATCAAGCTAAGAGAGTCCTCTTTAAAACTGCTTAAGTTATACAGCCTACCTATTGATTTTTTAAGTTCAAATGAAGAGTATTTGCTTGCACAATATTTGCGTGCACCATTTTAGGGGGGACACACTGCAAATTCCTAGATCTGCCTCAAGGCATCTGAAGAGGGAAATCAAAACGAACATACTCACCCAATCATCAATGTGGACCTCCACAAAGTATAAGGAGGCCACCTCCCTTCGTAGCACGTGCCTCTCTTTCTTCTCCAGGATCCAGAACAAGGGCTTTTTTACGTCCTCCCCGCAGTGCCCAGCCAGGTGATAGATGCAATCTCCAAAGAAGTTGTAGGATGTGCCGTCAAATGTGTAGTAGTGTGAGAACCCAAGGACCTGGCACCATGCTTCCTCTGAAAACAGAAAAAGAGAGAGGTAGCAGAGTCAATGTCGACTCCAATTTTTCCATCACAAGCAAATATATTCACTCCACAATTGGCAGATCATTTAAACAGGTTTCGCTTTAGGGGAAATTTTGCTAGGGTTTCTTACCACGTCGGATTTGCACTTGCTTTTGTGCCCCGAGTGCTACCAGTAGCTAGCCTAAATTGTAGATTCAAGATTAATGGCAATTGTATTCCCTTCCTTCTGTAATCTCAGCCTTTTTCTTTGGAATCAGGATTTTCGCAAGTAGGAACTTGACGAATTTTTGTAGGTAACAGTTAAATATAACACTTGTGATGTTCAACCACAGGAATGCATTTTTTTTATTAGGGGAAATCTTGATATCCAGATAAGAAAATAAAAACAGTCAATATAATGAAACTCTAGTTGGCCTTCATCATATCAGTCAACTGCTGATGCCAACTAAAATCAGTAAGGCCATTTTGGCAGAAAGCGGTCAACAACTTTTCTACAGAATTTCACCAGCTCGAAAACCATTTGGTGGTTTATAGTAACCTTAAATTTTATGCAAAGGTTGTCGCATTTATGTACACAAAATACAAGGCTGCATCCAACATTTTTTTTGGTGAGGGGCGGAAGACAAATGGGTTTACTGAGCCAAATCCATTTCATGAGTCCATATCTGATTGAGGAATTAAGATGCTAGTTCTAGGTATGCAAACAATTCAATATACCGTCTTCACAGTGTTGGCCAGTCCAGCCAATCTGACAAAAGCAACTGTACATGCCATGACGGGCAATGCAGGTTCCTCCATTGGCACACTCTACACCTGTGCAGGCATCCGCTGGAAGAAGATACAGAAATAACTTGAGCTCATCTACCAGTTGGATATTAGCATTGGATGATAGGGTTTTCTGTAAACTACAAGCAATGTCAATTCTTGCTTAAATAAGGTGGTTTTCCTGATCCATAGCCTTGAAGATTTTGCTGCCTGAAAAGACTGGACCGTTAACCTAGCATCATGACAAAATGACTTCATAATGACAACCAAACAATTTTATTACAATTTTACATCACATTGGTGTCATAATGATGTAACTTTTCAGTGCACATTTTCAGTTAAAAGTCTTGATTTGGATTAAGTACGAATAAGAGTTAAGATTTAGTACTTGTTGAAATCCTGTACATAAAAACCATGTGGCTTTCCTACAACTTACTGAAACTCCAAAAAGATAAAGTCCTGTCAAAAGGAAACAGGTAACAAACTAGACTCCTGCTTTTTTTTCTGGGCCTTTCAAGTTGATCCTACTGACAAGAGGAACTGGGTTGGACTGAACTTACGTTGGCACTCATTGTTCATGAAGGCATACCCGTCCTCACACTGGCAGGTGAGGTCTCCACTGCGCTCATTGGCAACGCACGAGGCATGATCAGTGCAGTTAACCTCTTGGCAATCTAGCTCCCCGCCAGGACGGCAGTGGCACAGCTCGGCACAATCCGGTTTGAAAACACCATCCCCTGGCTGCAAAAAAAAACCAGAACAAAAGCAATAGTTTCAATGGCAAGCAAAGGCACCATGCAAGGAAAATCACGACTGATGTCTATGTTTTCAATAGTAGTTTAATTGCAGGAAGTCTAAAATCATTCCTGACAACTATCAGATGGCCGTGCCAGTGGAATGCACCAACACAAAAATGTGTCTAAGAAAAGTGACGGTTTTAAATGATAATCAAAGTTTGTAAATACTAAGTCCTTCCACATGACCAGTCATGGCTAACAGCATGAACCATGACAAAGGAATGCTTTGGTCACAGTTCATTTGGACAGCTTAAAACATGGCTTGAATAAATGACTTGTGATGGACTTGCAATAACTTGTGATGGGCTCAACTCCATCACTGCATTTGACTAGGATTGTAGGTCGTCAGTCACAAGTCAGTCCACAGGTCAACACGGAACTAAAGAGACAAACAATAACAAAAGAATGCCTTTGTCACAGTTCTGTTAAATATCTTTCGAGTTGACTTGTGGCTCAATGACTTGTGACTGACTTGTGGTGACTTGCAGTGACTTGTGACCGACTTGTGGTGACTTCCAGTGACTGACTTGTGGTGACTTGCAGTGACTTGTGACTGACTTGTGGTGACTTGCAGTGACTTGTGACCGACTTGATTAAAACTCTGCATTTAACTGACAAGGTTTAAATATTAAAACAATTTTTCTCTTCTCCAAAGAGTGAGGTTCTAGGGACTGTACCTCAATGAACCGGCCCATGCCTTCCATGAAGCAGCCACATTGCTCTCTAGGTACACACCGATGGCCTTGGCGAACCCAGCCCTGGCGACACTCGCAGCCCGGCCTGCAAGGCAGAGGGCAGGCCCTGTCCGGATTGGCACAAGTGGGTGGACAGGGGCTGACGCAGTCACTCCAGAAGGAACCCTCAGGACATTCAGGCCCTGCAAATGGCACAAACATTTCAGATGATCACAAGCATGAACACGAATCTATTATCAGTCATTTGTGAGTTGAATTTAAAAAAAATATGGGATCCTGAATTTCTGTCAAATATTATAGGGAGAAATGTTGCCAATGTTGATGTAACCAAAGGCTTAAGCACATCACTTTATCTTAAAGCTGGTTATTAGGCAGTCCTTGGACTAAAACACTGGTGCACAAGGGGACACTGGTGATGTTGCCACAGAGTTCAAATGGTTAAACTCTGACATGGTTGCTCAACTAACTTTTCATGTGTATTTGGCACAACTTTTGAAGTTTCCCAGAAGGCTTTGTCAACCAGCATTTGGCTTTCAAAATTGACTATAGGCCAGCCTTTGCATCCCTTTTGCTTTCTATCATTCCAAAAATTAACAAACTTGAAAACAACTTACGGCAGAAATTGCGGGACTGCCAAAGACCTACATGCGCCCCATAGAGGCGGCACACGTTGGCGTATGCAGTAATTGATGAACACAGCCTGTTGTCGTCGGGGAGCGTGGCACACTGGCTTTGGATACAGCCGATGAAGTAAGGATAAGGTGGTACCACCTCATGGCACTTCTTGAAGGGAGCTGGATGGAAGGAGGAGATGGGATAGAATGATGATGCTACAATAGACCCTATTCACATGGAGGCCATTTTTTGATCTCATCCCCCAAATCTGTTGTATATATTGCAAACTGTCGATTAGGATGTCACCAGACTGTTTTATACTTCCGTGCGTTCCAAGCCTCCCTTTCAATCATTTTTGGAATCTGGCAAGGTACAATTATATGTGTTCAACCATGAATTTGAAATTATTCATCCGAGTAGACAGGTGGACATTGGTCATGAAATTTCATGTTATTGCTTCATTTGTACTCTCAACATTCCAAAATGAAGAGTTAACCTCGCTTTCAAATTCAATATGGCCGGCCCCGTGAATAAAGTCTATAGGTGCAATACTGTTCACATTTCAGGTTGGAAAGTCACATTCACATTCATATCGTGGTACCACTCTTGGTTTCAAATTCTTATTATGATAAGAATTGAGAGGGTGTTTCCCAACAAAAACGTAAGCCTAGCTTTTAGAGCTTCTGACTCATTCGGAAATGCTCAATTACATACAGCGCAGCTGAACACTGTTTGACAGACAAACTTGTGAACGTTTTTTATTCTGAGGTAATACTGTCACATCATAGATTTGAGAAACAGACACCAACTGGTGAAGACTGGTAAAACTTATGCGTAACTACATACAGTGTTGTGGAACTTCAAACTGATCAGAAGTTCATGGAATGCACGGATAGGTGAGGAACAGGAAATGTGGAATAGGCACTACTTGGGTTGAATGACTTCAACAGTAACAAAGCCTCACATGGGCATAGCAAACCCAATTCTGTTCTGCATTTTTAGGATGTATTCCATATCCTCCCAAATCAATTGCTTGATTATGTACTCAGTAACACTGCCCCTTCGTAGCACATTGAATGAATTGTAAACCTACTCAGATATTCCCGTGGGCTATCCAGCTGACAGACAAGCAGTGTAGCCTGTGCATGGCAGGATACGTCTCGCCAGTGCTCATGATCAAAGACCATGGCACAGTCTTCGTGTAGAAGCAGGGTACCTCCGTCATCGGGTTGGTCTTCATCCCAGGCTGCAAGAAATGACAAAGGGGTGTGGAATACAACCTCGGCAACAGTTTGGAAGGCACACACTATTATTTTGGCCCAAAATGACAACTTTTGGCAAAAAGCAAGATATAGTGGCCAATTTTTATTATCCAACCAGATGCCACAAGCAGAGACTGATTTTCAAGAGTTATTATAACAGTTTTTGTAAGATAGTTCTTACTGTGAGGCCCGACCAAAGAGCAGCATTTGCTCTCACTGGCTGTGCACAGTGGCCAAAGTCAAGTTCAACACACCGTCCGGCCGTCCCCACAGACTTCTTGGGCATTGCGTTGTGTACAAAACAAATGGGAGACTGGTATGCTTAGATGGCAGCCCAGCATGAGTCGGGGGTACATGCGGGTTTAACACATCAGCAGTGTCGGTGTGTATAGATGCCCTGATCAAGTGTAACCATCCTCCAGTGCAAAGTGGTTAACAAGTACATTAATAAGGCTTCAGATGAGCGTTAATTAACAGACAAATAGAGTCATTCTTTCTTATATGATCCTTGACGTGCTGTGTGGTGTGGTACACATGCACTTTCAGTGGATGAAACTAGACACTCGTGACCTGATAAGTGTCACCCAATTTTTGTTCCGACAGAGTAACAGGTCAGAATACATCCAAAGTCCAGAAATAATTTTTCTCCACTGACATCTTAGCTACCCTTCCACTCTTACACGCTCCCAATTCAGGCAAAGAATATGGCCACAGGAGAAAATGGGTGACTTTCATGTGACACTTTTAAGTGTGGGTATAGAAACTTTTTTCCTGGATTTTCAGGATTCAGGAAAAATGACTCCATTTATAATGCGGTGCTTACACCAGTATCCACTCTGGGACTCGTTGGACCAGGAGTGATCATCCCTGTGGCATGACCACGATCCTTCCTCCTCGGCGTCTGAGCATCCCAGCCAGTATGAGCCATCGTGTCTCTCTGCTGTGGCATTTCGGAAGCTCAACGCTTCCAGCTCAGTGGCAGGATCGTAGAGCCGGCCACCCTTGCTGGCGCACTCATGATAAGCCGCGGCGTAGGTCAAGGGCTCCTCGGGTCTCCTGACATAGTAGCACACGTGAACATTCCTCTCACCCGGTGGGGAGAACCACCCAGGGGGACAGGCCACTGTCAGGACAAAAACAATCATTATTACCTTAAAGCACCTTTGTATTCTGGCCAATCCGTGGCACCAACAGCGTGATACTACACCATACTGCAAACCACACTCCACAATCAGCTTACGGGAAATCTAGAAATACACATCATTTACACAGTTGCCAATTTTTCACCTATTTTTACCTGTTTTTTTTCTTTTCAAATACTCACTGGCACAAACCAGTAGAGAAAGCCAATGACCTCACTTTATAGCTTTGTTGCTTGCTAGAGACAAACAGGATCAAATATTGTAATAACAGTTCATCCCTTTACCTTTTGGTGATAACAAAAGTGCACATTTCTCAACAGCTTCTTGGAGATTACAGGTGTGTTCCTCACAGGGTTCGAAGCGTTCCCTTGGAGGCTGGCAATCCTGGCTGTCAAGGACCGAGGCCATGGCATACTCCCGAGCATTCTCATACTGCAAAGTCAAATGAAAAAAAAAAAAAGGCCGTGTCCGAGTAACTTAGCTTCCATGGGTGACGTGAAGGTCTGTTATTTGCGCGTGTAGCAAAGTTATTCGAAAAAGCAGCCAGAGAGCGATCAGTTTGCATCATGTTAACTGTAAACCTCGGTTCGGTTCTGCAACCATTTGCTTTTGTCAGCCCGAGAGTAATGGGTGAATTACATCATTGTTTCTTTCATCTACAGCAGCCAACTGAAAACAAGTCAGCTGAGAAATGCAGGGCAGTAGTAAGCAATGAACTGGACGTTATTTCTTGAAACTGCCTTTCCGTTTGATTAAGGTTTTGGGAGGGGATGTGTAAATAACAAAGTAAGATGGAATTATATTATATTAAACTGCCATAAATGAGGATTTATACTGACATATTTTTGCCGTGAGTTTGGAAAACAAGTTATCGTTTGCCGGGAAAACTTGTTTTTGCGCATGTTTGAAAAGATCAGTCAAAACTTGTTTGACAGTCAAGCATCAAGTGTAATGATGCCCCAAAATAAAAAGTAAATGTGGGAGAATCCCCTGACCTCTCCAAAGCCTTCCATGGGATTGGTGATGTCACCGCAGATGCCACACGTGCTCTGAGCAAAGTCAGACGGCAGCGTGACATCCACAAGGTCTCGGCCATTCCAGGACACGGTGAGGCCCAAATCAGTGGTCACTCTCTGAGATACAAGGGACGAGACCAAACAATGTCAAATCCATACAGGTTTTATGTGACTTAGTTAAATCTCACAGGTTGGGATTAACACTGATCTCCTAAGGGTTTGCAAGAAAAGAGGTGCCGATTAGAGGATTTAAGATTTCAGTGTATTCCTTCACATCACATCTGCGGAATACAAGTGGCCCCAAAACCTATGAAATCCCATTCAAACCGGGGGTCTTGTACTGATCTTGTAATGGTCTTTAAGGGGTCCCAACTACAACACTGCCAACCTTGCCTACCCCATCTGGCAAACTCAATCCAAAAATTGCAATCTTTATAGCACTGTAAGAGACACTTGTTGGCAGTTTAGTTACCGAGGGATCCGAACTGCCGAGTTTAACACAGTCTCTTCCTTGGTCAAACTTGCACACCTTGGACTTCCATATTTCCCATATCCTTTGACATTTGCATGTAAGTCGATGGCCTCTGAAAGATCGGGATACATGCGTCTGCAAACAATGGCATAATGCTTGGGATCATCTCACAAATGAAAGGAAGTTCTTACCACAATCCATCCATACTGATTGATGTGGATTCCGGTCTGATTGAAGGGATAATGCTGCTCTTCTCCATTCACTTCAAATTCCATGCCTTGCTTCAGAGTAACAGTCTGACAGAAATGAACGTTTGAATTGATTAATAGCAGGCTTTTTCATTTCAATTAATGGTGGGCAGGTGTCTTGCTCAGGCAAATACCAGCCAAAAAGGAAATAGCATTTACTTCATCTCCATAGTTTCTCATTTAAGAGCTGCCTGACTTTTCCACACGATCTTGAATTCAAGCTGCAATGCAGTAATACAAACGCACATTAAAAACATCATGAACTGAAAAAAACTAAAGATGGTTGTGGAGTGAAATTTCAAACAAGTAAACAAGAAAACATGTTGTGTCCCTGTCATACGTATTCCACTGACAGACAAGCTTCTAAAAGTTTAATTTAATCATAATAACCATCACCATCTTGATTAATAAATCACCATCTTGATTAAAATTGATACTGGAAACACACCTGAGATTCAGCTACTGCAAAAAACACTGGGAACAAATTAAAGTTTCCCCAGCACAGTTAGCCAATGAAATTTGCCGAATTTGTCCCATAATGCCCTGCAAAAATTGGCCTCCCCTCTCCTCTTGAGTGGCACATTGTATTGTCAATTGTCAACTGACAACAAAATTTTAATCCAAATAAATAAACTTCGTTTCTGCAACTTGGTAAAGCCTCTACCTGGTCACCGATGGAGATGTGAACTGCCTCTATGCGAGACAATGCAGGGAACTCATCATCAGGTGCGTTCTGCAGAATCACTCGGAAGGAGTTGTCCCCTTCTGCACAGGGCCGTGCCAATACGTACTTGCAGCCACCGTAAAAGTCAAACGGTTGGCCGTCAAATCTGTCGTAGTGGGTGTGGCCACTGACTGAACATGACTTGACACCTTCACAAGAATGTCACCAAAAAGAGAAGAAAATGGCACTTTATGAAAGAGCATTGCAGTTTTATAAGAGGTTTAGCCCTGACACTGACATATATTTAATATCGCTGACGTAAAGCATTATGATCATTTTCTAATAGCTGTACCCTTTGCTTCATTGGATTTGAGCTAGCAAACTGATCCACGTAAACTGGTGGTCAAGTGATGAAGACATCTGCACTTGTAAGAAGGAGATCGTGGGTTCCAAACCCATCCAAGCAAGCTTGTGGGGTTTTTTTTGTAACTCTCAGACCACACACTGAGAACACAATCATGTGAATATGTATGACAGCACAAGGGAAAACATAGTATCAAATTAATGACCCTGATACAAAGCCAGTTCGATATCATTTCAGTTTTGAAAAACTGATGGGGAAATCTATCAACCACTTCAGTGATAAGAATTACTGAAAATGTCCCCTATTCAGTGCACCTGGCACATTGTATATATGGACATCATGCATAATGGCCATCTCCGAGGGATGTTCTTAACATTTAACTCCGGTCACAATGTAAGCACGAAAGGTCTGCTCAGGTCTATCAGAAACAAAGACTTTTATGTCAAAGATGGTGATGCATAAGGCCTATGTAGTGCCCACAAACTCCATTTTCTTGAACAACATCATTCTGGAGGCAGTTTTTTCAGGGGGGAGGGGATGAAATGATTTTTTGCACTATCATGGAACAGAGAAAGATGTGTTTAAAGGCAAAAGCATTTATGCAAAAGCATAAATGCATTTACAAGTTATTTTAGGGGGTAATTTTAAGATATTAAGAAATTATGTTTTGTTATTGAAAAAGTGTATTCTTTATTTTTCTTTTTTCTTTTTTCAATGTCTGTTACTGACTACATGATGTGAATGATTTCCCTCTGATACTGTATCACTGTTGTCAAACTCAGTCAAAGGCGTTACCTTGGTTACAATGGTCTCCCCTCCAGTGTCCCACGCAGGAGCATTGATACGGTGGTCCTTCTCCTCGCTGGATGGTGCAGATGCCATCATTCTCACATGGATTGGGGTAGCATGGATCCTCTGTCATCACAGGAAAGGAGCAATGACATCCATCAGTATTGGAATCAAGTGAATCCACCAAGCCGGTTACGTGGTCAAGTATCTCACATAACAATGCGAAAACAAGACGGCTTAGAGTAACAACGTGAAGGAAAAGTTGACACCATTGCAATTGATTTTAAAAAGTGATTGAAGTCAACTAAATTCTGAAAGGAAAGCCAGAAGTGTGTGTTATGTTGTCTGTTGCTTTCAACCATTTAGACTCATTTTCAAACTTCACCGATGTATTATTATCATAATTATTTATTTAATCAAGACCTCTTGACCACTTGACTTGATTAGGGCACTTTGAGTAACCCAAGGTCAAGATATTTCATAGGTGCATCTAAACCTGTGATGACACCAAGAGCAAGGGAAATATTTGAATGTATTTACTGGTTCTTTCTTACCCCTGCACTCGGTCCCGTTGCCATGGTATCCATCATTACAGTAGCATCCGTAGTCGCCATCATGCACACCGCATGTGGCATTATGGTGACATGCCACTGGTTTGCAGACCGGTTCCCCGCGCACACACTGGCATATCTCCTGGCAACCATCTCGGTAATATTCTTCTTCATTCTGTGGGAAGTAACAATTGTGGACACAGTAATGGTGAAAAGGTTATTGTTATGAAGCCACTGCAGGTGATGGTTCACCATTATCTAGTTTTAAACAGACAAGTTTAAATCTGTCCCATCACTCGTGTATTCCCTTATTGAAACCAATGGGGCATTGTCTTTGCAAGTCACAACAGAACGTTAAAATCTTCCACTGACCAGGTGGTAGTATCCCTGATCCATGCAGCCACAGTCGTTCGGCCGCACGCATCTGCTGTCGTGGTCCAGTACGTAGCCGTCCTCGCACTCACAGCCTTCCTCGCAGTTGAACGGGCATTCGGCGGGCAATCGCACGGGGCCACCACACCGCCTCTGGCAGGCATTAGCGCACACTTTGTACTCTGAGTGCTCGGGACAGGTGACGGCTGGAGGAGGTTACAAAAGCACAATCCAGGCCAAAAGGAAGAGAGAGAGAGATGTAAGAACAATTTATAATCCAGCTGCTCAGGAACAGGTAACAGCTGCAGTGGGTTAGGTAGAAAGAACAGGGCCATGAAGGAGGGGGAGATGTTAGCGCAATGTTTACACGATGCTCTTTACAAGTAATAGCTGAAAGGTTTAAAAGTAGAAATGAAAACCTACAACTGATATTTTGTATTTATTTACCGGACTTATTGGGAATTAATTGCAGCTTTGGGTCACAGTAACACAATAACTAAATTCCCTCTACGGGTGCTTACGACAAAAGCCGTCAACCCTCCACCGGTCCACCTCAATGCCCAGTCGCTGGCACAACTTGGTGAGGATAGAGAATGACTGGCAGATCGGTGTGACCACGTCATGGCCCAGAGCGCAGCTATCATCCAGACAGGCGCTGGCAGCGACAGTACCCAGTTCCCTTGGACATCTACGGAATGGTCCTAAAAGTGGCACACCGATAGAAAATCGATAACACCTAATCAAAATACACACTTGCCGGGAGCACTTAACAGCAAGTGCAAAGCTACTTGTGGTGATATAGAAAGTCGCTTGTAAGTTCAGTGGGCACATTTCAGTGCAAAGTATAACAAAAATAATAATGAGTATTCATAAAGCTCTCAAAATACTAGCCACTAAATCAAGGAGCTCATAACAATCCCCCCTGGCCATCAGGCTCATTAAACATTCCTGAAAGCCATGGCTGCCTGGGGAATATACGGCTCAACGCTGCCATTTCAGGTGCAAATTAACAGCCCATCAAACACAACAACCATCCCTCGCCACACAGGCACCTATTCATGTGCCTGGCAGGCAAGAGGCAAAAAGGGGGTAAACTGACTTGCCTACGGTCATAACATAAATAATCAATCATGAATAATAATTAGAGAGCTAAAAAAACTTGTCCCTGTTCATATGAATGGCTGGTGACTTGAGCTGTTTGTTGCCAGAGATTTTTGATGGACTTGCGAATGACTGACTGGTCCTTGCGAGGATGTAAGAGTACTTGTAGAGGACTTTTGGAGATAACTCTGATATCCTTTTCATTAAATACACAATTACTAGTGAAAACAAGTAATCATTGACATGGCAATGTGCAAGCATTCAACTCACCCCTTTCATTAACTAACGGCAAACAGAACGGTCTGATTTGTTCAGACTCTTCATCCGAACAGTCAGGAATTATATTTGGTTTGGTGGCTGGGGGACAGTCTCCGGGATTGGCAATGTTCCGATCTCCAAAGGCAGCTATGCTTCCCTGGAAACAGCAAAGAAAGCACCGATGTAACGTTGTTGGAACTCGTCTTGCAAAACGGATATTTCACTGAAGAAGTACTCCTTCCTTCAGCAACAACCGTCCAACCTGCTGTGTGTTTCCCAACTTTAAGTCTCTTGATTTTTTGCTGGGAAAAGTGACTTTTGAAACATCATCATCAGATTTCACTTACAACAACTGTCAAAAGAGAATCCGGATGCATTTATTTCCAAAGTAAGTAAGATGCCAACCTGAAATAGGGTGTCCAATTTATAACAATTGGAAACTCAAAAACCTGACTCACACCCCTAAAAATCAGTTCATGTCCATGGATAGTCACAGATCATAAAAGAATAAAGACCACTTTCTCCTTTAGGTTAATGCAAATGTAATGCAAATTTGACATGGTGAAGTATCTGTCGTGAAATATGACTCAAAAACATGTTCAACATTCGCAAATTTGCAGCGCGAATATTAGCTCCGACGTCGCAATTTCATGACCACTTTTAACTATGAACCAGTCTCAAGGCTAACTTACAGGTCTTGAGAGATGAGCTGCAATCTCGCCATCGACTGGTCCACCCATGTCTCCACACAGTCCACAGATTTCACTGGCCCAGTCTGTGGACAGTGTCACAATGGAGGAGTGGAAGCCATCCCACTCGACAGTCAAGTTAAAGTTGGTGGTGACGATCTGCAGGGGCGACGCAAAGCAAGGAGGGCCAGATATCAGTTTTGAGATAGGGGAAGCTGGGGGCATGTGTCAGGAAACTGCTCAGTTGAAAAACTGTGCCACTCATTTACTTGCTTTTGGAATTTAAAGGGTCTTTGCAATGCAAGTTTCTTTTTATTACAACCTCTGAAAATGCACCTTTGTGTTTCATTTAACCTTCTTTTTCTATTTTTGTTTCGCTGTTTGAATTAATTTGGTGAAAAAAATTAATTTGATGCCTTTCAGTTTAATGCTAATGCAAATTCATGAGCAAAAGTGTTATACTGTTCCAAGCAGGAAACCTTACTCTTACAGTCATTTGTGCACAAACTATTGCTGGAATTTTTATATTTGCCATCCTATGTTGCCTTATCTTTGGTGATTCATTGTTGTGTAAGTACATGGCAATAAGCAACTCTTTCTCAGAAACATTTTCAATGAACAAACTTTGGGCTTCTCAATGACATTGAATGCATTTGCCAACAGGCAAATGTCAAATGAATTTTATATATCTTATATATTCAGTGGTTCCGGTTGGGAACCATTTTTCCTGAGGTGGCTGCTCTTGATAGACTCACTACACGGCTGATTTTTACTCACCACTAAAATGTGTTCAGCGCTATTTCATGCTTGGCAATATTAACCTCTTCGTGCAGTAAGACATGCAAATATGCAAGGATTCCTTGTGTCGTAAAACCGGTGACATCTGTACTTACTCCCATGTTGGAGTGATTCCCATTGAGTTTGTACACACACGGAAGCTCAAACTAGCCTGTGGAGGTTGAGTGTGTGAAGCCCTCAAGCCACCCTTGGACCATGGCCAGGCTTGTGACAACTATCACTTCTCAACAGAGTCTCTCAGAGTTTTAGAGGAGTGATGATGTGGTACGAAATGTCGCCGAAATCTCGAACAATTAACTACCGTGGCTCAGCTTTTGTGAGATCCAACTTTGCAAATGAGTGGGGTTGTGGTATCTTTTTGATTTGGAAAGGGGGAACTTTTGGCCCTGGGAAGTGTAAAAAAGAGTACATTCTGACAAAGGGCTTATGCAGTGACACTCACCACTCGATTGTTCATCATTGAGATTTCAAAGAGGTCACCCTGGCGATAAGGAGGCAAGATCTCCCGCTCATTTACTGTCAATCGATAGTTACCGTGCAGGCCAATTTCCTTGAGAGTGGAGATAAAGTATCAGGGGTAGAGATTAATAGTTCTTTAACTGTCATCTGCATGGGTCAATTATATACTCCTGAGAGATGGAATCAGTTGAAAAGGAATTCCTTCACAGAAAGAGCACAAGCATTTTCACTGGAACAAAACTGGGGTTCAAACGTGAAAGAAGTAGCATTGGGTGAGTTTGAGTGAAACCATTTGTTGACCACGAGACAATTTGCCTGGTACCCAGGATGTATTTTAAGCATAAATTACCAGGGGCAAATCAACCAACGGCTGACCAATTACCATCTTTGAACTTGCCCGCTCATGGTTCATGAGGCATATAGCTATTTCACGTCCAACATCAAGGCACAACAATGGCATAAATGGTGCCCTCTTTAATGAGGATAAAGGGAGAGAAAATAAAGATAGCAGACAATTGAATGCCATTGCAGGTGATGACACGTTTGTGCACATTCAAATGAAAATCAGTCACAAAAGGTCACACAGTGCCATCTACCATCCATGCAATCCATAGTGCCAATGACAAACACAAGTAGGAGTAAAATTAACAGAGGATATTTTCATATCAGCGATGACGGCAATCCACTTACCACATCTTGGAAGTGGATCAGAATTGCCTCGGTTATGGTGAAGCGCGGGTTTTGAAGAATTCTCTCTGTCTGCTGAATGACCTCAAAGTACGGCATGGCAGACTCGTTGCAAGCCCTAGTGAGGTAATACTGGCCCGCCCCTTGGAAGGCGTAGGACACCAAGGAGAAGGTGGTATAGTGGGGAACACCATACACAATGCAATGTTTAACTTCTGTGGGAATTTAAAACAAAACAAAAAAGAGATTTTAAAAAAGTTGTAAGGTAATCATTTTTAATAAAAATCCAACAAAGCTCAGGAAAGATTTACCTCAACATACATGGAAAGACTAACTGTGTACCTGGTGTATCTTCAAGTTTACCTTCCTAGACAACAACAAATATGACTAAAACCTTCTGAAACATTTCGGTTGTTCATTAATTATTATTGATTTTTGCACAAACCACTGCTTAATTTTTGTTAGTTTGCTGTCCTAAATTGTCTTCTCCTTGGTGATTCATTGTTCTGTAAGT